AGAGAGAGAGAGAGAGAGAGAGAGAGAGAGAGAGAGAGAGAGAGAGAGAGCACCTGCAGTACACAGAGAATGTCTGGGAGGGCGTTCTTGGACTCGTCTACAGGCCCTGCCAAGACAGCAACAACAATTTAAAGTCATTAACAAATAATAATAATAATAATCGCAGCCACAATGACAACAAATCAAACACCAAGAGCGGAGAACCAAACGATTGCCTGTATCCAGAAGGACACCAGTCATGATTTTTTTTTATTTTTTTTTTTAACACACACACACACTCCCCTTCTATTCAAGGGGGCACCAGTCCGGTTGCTTATAACCGGCAAGCATGTTTTTACAAATTTACAACCAAGAAAAAGGGGAGGATAGACGAAAAAGAAGGTCGGCCTATCCTTTGAGGCCCTACCCACCTACCAAGCGGGGGACTGCTGCTTGGTAGGGGACTGCTGCAGGGTGTCCCTCCCCCCATACCGCAGCCTTTCTTAGGGGGTTTCCCTGCTAGCCGGGAGGCTTACTAGCAGCATCCAGTCCCGCAGCAGGGTACCCTCTGGAGAGGCAGGGCGAGGGGGAGGACTTCCCTAGCACTTCCGCGGGCCGCATGTCATCCTGGCCTGATGCTGTTTCTGCCTCCTACATTGTCTCTACCATCCCGTGTAACTGTTACCCATGTCCAAGCCTTGTCTACCCTGTTTCAGCCACTGTGTGCTATATACTCTCCTACCTTCTTCCCCTGAATACAACGTATGGTCATTATAGCTGTATCTAGACTGAAAGATGCCTCAAACACAGCTATGATGACAGCACGTTCTATTCGGGGGAAGAAGGTAGCCTCAAGGGCATTTCATTTCCAACCAATCCTAGAGTTAGCCTGAAGCTTATCTACAGCCTGTCCTCATTATTTATTGAAGTGTTATCTCTGTTGACCCCGGCAATGTTTTTTTCATGACTTTCACAAGGAAAACTTTAAAAAGCTTTAAAAAACTTGCAGAAAAGGAAATGATACTGAAAGACACATTTGCAGGAGAGATATAAAGGCTGCATCAAAAAGTGTGTGGCTCAGCAACCTCACAAAACAAGCGACACACCTGAGGTATTCGCCTGGCATGGGAAACGTGCCAACGCTTTCACATAGCAAACAGAAATTTAATTCTTAATTTATAAATTTATAAATTTTAAATGATTCAAGAATAAGTGCCAGCAGGGCTCTGCCCACATTAATAGGGGGGTCTTATTCGAACATAGAATAGCCCACAAAGTAGGAGCAAGTTAGTGGGTGATACGGAAAGGTGTTCAAATCAGGGCAATCTCGAGATTCTGCAAGGAACATGAATGTGGACGAAGCACAGAAATCCAGATTGCAAAATCACACTGAAGTCCAAGTAGTCAAAGCAAGAGCAGATAGCACAATGGAACCGAGTAACCATCCATTTGAGAACGATACAGAAGAGAATCGTGAGTCAATGTCCAAGCCCAATCGGGCAACACCAACAGCCGAACCCAATGTAGCTCTCTCTCTTGAATGGCGCCAGGTGCCCTACCTACTCTACAGCCTATCACTACAACTAAAGCATGAAAGCAACCAGACAACTTGACGACCAGCGAGTGATGATGTCAACACCAATGCCGGCCTCCCATCTCTACCAGGTACATCTCTCTCTTCTCCCTCACTCTCCCTTGTTATCCCACACAGCGCCCTTCACCTCCGAAGAACCACCTTCGCCCTTCCTCCTCTGCGCCCTCAGGCAGCCCGGGTATGGCCACCAGCGCCCTGCGCCCAGGCAGCACTCTACCGCTTAGCGCTTGCCTGCCTCTACCTCAGCCTAGCGCAGCCCAGCACAGCGCTGCACCTCGCATTTCCGCAGCGTGCCGGCATTGCCCGCAATGGACAAGATCCCCTGCCCACTCGCCCTCCCTGCCTATATGCCAGCGTTGCGTGTGGGCGGCCTCCCTTGAGCCTGTGCCTGGGCCCCAGTACCTGTACCCAGGCCCGATGCAGTTGGGGGCCCAGGAGATGCAGTTGCGCCTCTTTCATCAAGGCCTGCGGCCAGATTCAGATAGTGGACCGGTTTCCCATTGGCATTTCCGGCCTCTATATCCATCATGCATTGTCGGCCTCACGTTTATGTGCTCAGGGCCTGACCAACTCTGGGGCCCTGGGTTTCTGCATTTGCAGAGCTCCGATACTCGGTGCACTCCAACCAACTGGCGTGCTGCAACTGTATGGACCCCACTTCGTGAAATGTTTGCACAGAGGGCTCTTGTTGATTTGCTGGCCCGCCTTCACTTAGGGCGGGCACGAGGCTTGCTGGGGCCTTAGCCCAGACATGTACATCATGGCAAGGCCCCTTCTTGAGGGCTCAATCCTCACAATTCAATCGTGTGATAGCGAGGCCAGAAGTGAGATACTGAGTTGCACTGTATTGCATAGTAGATGTGAACCGTGTACTGCTGTAACAAAGTTTGTGGCTGAGTGGCACTGCAAGGAAATGCAACTTGGGTCCACCATTTCTTGACCATGCCAGGGGAATACCTCAGATGCATGGCTTATTTTGTGAGGTTGCTGACGCTACTTGCTAATACGGTGAGAATATTTTCTCTACACAGATGACACTATTAAAACCACTGACGTGACAAATCAAAGATCCGGGCCATCATTGGTCCTACCGGCCTATGGCCTGGATGATCGCAACAATGCAATAAATTTGGGATTGCGGCCATCGGGTCCTACCGGACTGACGGCCCAGATCACGGCATCGATCCGGGCCATCAGACCCGCCTATGCCAACAGCCTGGTTCAACGCAACATCTTAGGATCTTAAGATCACGCCTGAATCCAGGCCGTTGGCTCGGTACCTCATGCCCAACGGGCCAGATGGGCGTAGAATTGGCCTGCCGGTACCGGTAGGTACTACCGCCACTGCCATACCAATTGGTACCAGTAGGCACTACCGCCACCCTACCGGTAGGCCTATCACCACCCTTCTATGTAGTACCGGTAGGCCTATCACCACCCTTCTATGTAGTACCGGTAGGCTCTTGACGTGCACCGCTGCCGCTGCCCTCGCATGCCCCACTGAATATGCCTGTGCTTGCCCGGGTGCATGTTTGTGTGTGTGTGTGTGGTTTTGCGTGCATGAATGTGCTTGCGTGAGTGTGTGTGGGTGCCGCACTTGCCCCACAGAGAGAGAGAGAGAGAGATGGCGGGGGCGGAAGCATGAGCAGCTTCTCTACATTGCCAGAAGATGCAAGAGTCCAGCTTTCCTTTTCTTCGTTGAAGGATCAGTGAAAGGCTCCCCGTGTATCATCCTTGCGCAGGGGGAAGAAACTAAGATTACGTAGATGATGCGAATGTGGCGGACGCATATGAAGGGCGATTCCAATACTCGTCACCGTTTACTTGCAGCATGCAAAGAATCATTTACTCACCTAGAAGCACAAAGAGATGATGAGCTGGCGCGTCTGACATCAGCAGCAGGTCGTTGGGAGTATTCTTATAGTGTGATGCGACATACAGTGCCATCATTCGCTGCACACCACGACAGAAAACCGAATTTAGAGCCAGAAACAATGCTCAAGGTTTGACAAAGGGAAACAAAAAGGGAGAGAAAAACAGGGAAACGAACGGGTTTTGAATTAAACCACCAGTACCCCACCCAGCTATTTTTTTAATGTCACGGCTCGTACAACAGCACGACTTTGGGGGGTCATTCAAGTGAACACCCAGTCAGAGTTGAATGACCAGGCAGAATTTGCGAAGCAAAAAGAAAAAGAAAAAGAAACCAGTTCACAAAAAAAAAGGAGGAAATAAAACGGAAACAATCCTAACGCACGCTCGGTAGGAGGGTCTCTCTCTCTCTCTCTCTCTCTCTCTCTCTCTCTCTCTCTCTCTCTCTCTCTCTCT